GCTGCTGCTGCTGCTGCTGCTGCTGCTGCTGCTGCTGCTGCTGCTGCTGCTGCTTGTTGTCGCCGTAATGCACTTGCAACTAATTTTGCTGCTGGCCTGTGGCTAAGGCAATAGTCATGATTGTGTTGTCTGATGCGTTCGCTCTAATCGAAAATTGAATATGAAATGCATTTGGGTTGTCCCCGAATGCTTGCACTCTGCACAAATTCAAGGACAGAAGCTTAAAGAGTTTGGAGAGAAATGCCAAAATAGAGTGGAAAAGTAGAAGTGAATATTAGTTGTCTATAAAAATATTAAAAAATTTAATAAATATTAAAGAAATATGGCATTTCTCTAATATGGGATTTATTTATATACTGATTTGTTATTATTAAAAAATGTAATTTATTTATTAGATATTTGTATGTATTTTGACTAGTTTATATTTACATATTTTTTATATTTTTCTATTGATTTTTTTTAAATATATATATTTATATAAATTTGATCGAATATATTAATGAATAATAATAATGATAAAGTAATTTATTAAATAATAAATTAGTAATATTATTTTTAAAATTGTATTTTTTATTATTTATTTTGTAATGTTTTTTTTTTTTTTTTAAATTAATATGTATAATTTGTATTTATATATATAGATTTCAATTCTTATATTTTTTATTATTATATTTATATTTTATATTTATATTTTTTCCTATTCAAATATATTAAAAATTAATTTACTTATTTTCTTTGCTTTAAGATTGAAGAATCTTTTGCAGTTTTTGCTTGTATTTATTTTATTAATATTTAGTCATTTAGTAATTCAATATTTTTATTATAATTTGTTGTTTGTATAAGTTTTCCAATATCTGCATTTCTTTCAAATTTTTTACCTAATATATTTTCCCTTTAATTATAAAGATATATTTCAAAGTTATTTCCCCTTGTATTTTTTTCTCTTTAAATATTGAACAATGCTTTCATTTGTTGCAGATTAATATATCTCTGCGCAAATATGCAAAATATGAACGCAATTTTCGCACAGTGTTATTGACAACGTACATTGCAAATATGTAGTAAGACACGTCCAACTCCCACTTCGATTGAGCATTGAACCCACTAGCAGCAACTGAGTAAATGTGATAGTCAGAGTCTTCCTTTAATTAAGCAACTGTTTCTGGTATTCGACTTAGTCGAATGCTAAGGTTGAATAACCTGCCCTCTTCACAGCTGCTGCCTGCTGCCTGCTCATTGCGCTTATTTGATTTATTTCTCATTTCGCTTTTTTACCCTCTAACTGGCAAGTGCTTTGTGGGTTCAACAAAACCAACTTGAGACTAGTAATTAATTTGGTTTCAGTCAGTTATTTGAGTGAAGTTGGCGCGCAGGTCCAGAAAACAAGTCAATGACTGTTCGCAATGAGTAAGCAGCGGCTTAGGCATTTCACGAACGGATCGCGTGTAGCGTAGTAAGATACTCACAATCCATACAAATTAGTATTTGCATAAGCAGCAACGAAATTGCCTTAAAACGCATTTTGTTGAACAACAAACACGTGAATAACATGTGCCCTGAACACGTTAATTATTCAGTTGATTTATTCAATGCGCTAACTTAATTATTTATACCAGTTTTTTCCTTATTATTTTTCTATTGATTTTTTATTTGCATTTCATTTGCTATTGATTAATTAATTCAATATTGAGAATAAGCTCTATAGTAAAATTTTTATCTAAAATAAAAAAATAAAATTTCATTTAACTAAAAATATATTTTTTTACGTTTAAATTTTTGTTATTAAAATTATAAATTTTTTTTATTTTGTAGGTAAAAAACTATATGTTTTGCATTATTTTTTAATTTTTAAATTTTATTTATACAGAATACTGCAATATATGAAATAATTCTTGAAGATGCTCGACTAAAAAATACCCTGGAACATGTAGAAATAATTGTGTTCTTTATTTTCTTTTTTTTGACTTGACTAAATTAAGAGAAGAGATACATTGAGATACAGCTTAGGGTATATGCAAATCATTTAGCTGATTTGCACCAACTGCAACTCTTTTAATGTCTGCGACCAGCGCAAAGCGTGTGAAAAACGTTTTTAATGACATTTTTAGCAGAGCCGTTAGAAAATGACACAATTAATAGAATATTTCCACGCGCTTGGGACAGCGTAACGCAGTTCTTTGCACATGCCTCATTTTCCACGGGGTTGCATGTTCCGCTGATATTAGATAAAAACATGATGAAAACAGAAACACTTTATCTTCTCATGCATAATTAAAATGCGAGTTTAATGTGGAAGGAATTTTAAATAGTTTGATTTACGCAGACGTGACCTGAATTTTAAGAATATTTCCATTAAATTGACTTTGGCATGGGAAATGTGCAGTGCTATATACATACATGTACATATATACTAACCCTGCACATGCATTGATTTTAATATGTGTATATATTTACATACATGTATTTGTATTTAATGCAGCGCAAACCAGGCTCATGTGAGAGTAATTCGGTTAGTGGAAGATGCTTTAAAGCATTCAGTGCCAATTCGAATGTAAATAACTAAAATAGTTCAAGCGTGAATCGCTGAACAGATAAAATGCCAAAATGGAAAAGAATTTTGTTTTCCGTTTACGTTTTGATAAAAGTTCGTGGAGCTTAACATGCAAATACCAGATCTGAGATAATAAAATTACACAGAAAATGGGAAAATCTTTTATAGATAAAGTGAGCGAGAAAGCAGAGCATCAATGCCATAAAAAAATATTATATTAAGGTAACTTTTTCAATGATTTTCTTCCATTTACTATTTTTACTACTTGCAAATCCAACTACCAAAGTTCTACGCGAAGTTAAGCAAACTTAAAACAGCTGCAGCTGACACTTAAATCAATAGAGCAATCTTTCTTTTTCAAATATCTATTATAGCAACAGCCAGCCGACAGGCTATCAAGCATTTGTGATAAGCCACTGATTACAGTTAGTATAATCTAACTATCTAAACGGCTCTTGAGGCTTAACAATTTAATTATTGTGACTGCAAAGTAAGAATCACTTTGTTATCGGAAAGTCTTATCAGCTGAAGTGGCTTAAAGATAAAAGATATCTTACAAATTCTCCAAGTGTTTACTTCAGAAGCCATTTATATTTATAGAGGGTATTGAAAAGTTTGTCCACACCACAAGTTTAACATTTAATTATGTGTTATATTCGAAAAAAAAAACACACACACACTCATTTACATAAATACAGATGCCACATGCCATTAGGTATCATGCGTGTTTATACAAACATGTATGACCGCATCGCCAACTATTTTGTCATCTAATAATACGGTCCAGAACACATTTACATATTTCCACCTAAACACGCTCAACTCGCAAGTGAATACCGCCAACTGTGCCCAATACAAACGATTTCGGATCATAAGTAAGGGGTATATCAGTCTTATCGCACACTGTGAACTTGAAGTTCCTTATCAGCTGGGCCAGACCAATTCGTGTTTGCATTTGGCCGAAGCGCATTCCCACACAATTTCTGGGTCCATCCCCAAAGGGCAGCCACTCAACTGAATCACGAGCTGCCACTTGCTCGGGCGAGAATCGCTCTGGATCGAATTTCTCTGGTTCGGGATAAAGGTCTTCATCCCGATGGTAGGCAGCAGCAGGAAGAATGATTTGTGTTCCCCTCTCTATGACATATTTGGGATGGCCAGGTACAACATAATCATTAAGAGCTCTTCGCTCGAGGAAAGGCACCAGAGTGTACAGTCGGAGGGTTTCTGTTAACGAAATCATGACTTAGTTGAACTTCCTGTAAAGTCCGATAGAGCGGTCTTACCAGAAATGACCTGATCCAAGTATCGCATGGCCTTAACGCATTCATAGGTCAGTTTTCCATCGTGTTGCTGCAGAACATCCTGAATATCTTCCCGAAGTCTATCCTGAATATCGGTATGTTGGGCCAGTTCATAGAGAGCGTATGTCATGGTAGAAGAAGAAGTCTCAAAGCCAGCCAGGTAGAAGACAAACACCTGTGCTGCGAGTTCTCCAACATCCAATCCCGAGACCACCTCACCATTATCCATAGTAAAACTTCCCTTCTGCTTCAACTCGATGAGCATCTGCATAAAGTCGTTACGTTTGATATTTTCCCTCTCTCTAAAAGCAAGGGTTGCTTTAACAAGTCCCATAAAGAACTGATGGACGTCTTCTGGAATCATGCGCATACGCAGTTTTCTTGCCAGACTCGGAAAACTAAACTCAAATGCCGTTAGCAGAACTCCATGTCGCATTTCGGTGAAAGATTTCTGGCCCATAGTACGGAAATCAGTTACTGGTGTACGAAGGGTATTGCACTCGATGCCGAAAGCACAAGTGCCAATGACATCGGTTGTGAAGCGTGCCATCAGATCCTTGATTTCAATGATGGCTCCTCCAGTCTTAGCTGGGACATTCTCCATCATTACATCTACGAATTCCTCGGACACTTTGATGACTGTGGGGAACATAAACTTCATCTTGCCGGATGTGAAAGTGGGTGATAGTTTCTGGCGCATTATTTTCCATCGCTTGCCATCCAAATTAAAAAGGTGTCCAGTGAGGGGATCGTCGCGTTCGTTATGGAATTGTCCACGATCGGCGAAGTTCGTAAAGTCTTTAATCAAAACGTTCTTTGCCAGTTTAATGTCCATGATGAAAGCGCTTCGTCTTTGCAGGAAACTAAAACCGACAAAGGGATGACCACTTTTCCGGAATTTCATGTAGTAATCGCCCATTATTTCATGGATTATACGGGTCCTCCTGAATCCGATCATGTTTCCGTACACTGGATGCGGAGGTTCCTGAGGTATTCCTCTGTTTTTCCAATAGTTCATATTGTAATGCAAGAAATATGCAACTAATGCTGATACAGCGATCAGCACATATATGAAAAATAACATTTTGACTTCAGCTCTCGACGACTTCTATTCCAACACTGAGCTCGATCGACGAAATGGACTGGTTATCTATTGGGTTTTAGTTGCTGTATAAAAGCGATCTGGTTCTGCTTATATAAATATGTTGTGAACTTAAAAATACAGATAGTAGTTATCGGCAAGCTTCACATAATTTCATACATTCATTTAACTGTTTTTGCTTATCAATTTCAATGGAAAACTTTCGCAAAAGCTTTGGCTTTGAGCTTTATTTAAAACATAGCTGAATGAAATCTCAAACCGGAATTTAGAACCAATAAAGCTCAGCCTCAAAAGCCAGCTCAAATAGTCTCATCTGAGCTAAGGTGCATATTAAATGTTGGTTTTACTATATTTAACTTATGAGTTATACAGATTTTTATTTCATTTATCTCACAATGTTTAACAAATTGTATTTCAAACACGCTCCGCCCGCAAATAAATCCCACCGATAGTGCCAAGTACAAGTGATTTCGGATCATAAGTAAGGGGTATATCAGTTTTATCGCAAACTGTGAACTTAAAGTTCCTTATAAGCTGGACGAGCCCGATTCGCGTTTGCATTTGGCCGAAGCGCATTCCCACACAATTTCTGGGTCCATCTCCAAAAGGCAGCCACTCTACGGAATCACGAGCTGCCACTTGCTCGGGCGAGAATCGTTCCGGATCGAATTTCTCTGGTTCGGGATAAAGGTCTTCATCCATATGATAGCCAACAGCAGGAAGAATGATTTGTGTTCCCTTCTCTATGACATATTTGGGATGGCCAGGTACCACATAATCGTCAAGTGCTTTCCTTTCGAGGAAGGGTCCGAGAGTGTACAGACGAAGGGTTTCTATGAAAGCAAATTCACAACATAAATTCGAGTTCTGTTATCACCAGCTGTTTGAGCTCACCAGAGATAACCTGATCCGCGTATTGCATGTCTTTTATACATTCGTAGGTCAGCTTTCCATCGTGTTTTTGCAGAACATCCTGAATATCTTCCCGAAGTCTATCCTGAATATCTGTATGTTGGGCCAGTTCATAGAGAGCGTATGTCATGGTTGCTGAAGAGGTTTCGAAGCCAGCCAAGTAAAAGACAAACACCTGTGCTGCTAGCTCTCCAATATCCAATCCCGTGACTACTTCACCATTATCCAGAGTGAAGCTTCCCTTCTGCTTCAACTCGATGAGCATCTGCATAAAGTCGTTGCGTTTGATGTTTTCCTTCTCCCTGAGTGCAATGGTCTCTTTAACCAAGCCCATAAAGAACTGATGGACGTCTTCTGGAATCAATCGCATGCGCAATTTTCTTGCGAAGTTCGGGAAACTGAACTGAAATGCAGTCAACACGATTCCATGTCTCAGCTCAGTGAAAAACTTTTGGCCCATTTTACGGAAGTCCGTGTCAGGATTACGAAGAGTGTTGCAATCGATGCCAAAGGCAACTGTGCCAATGACATCGGTGGTGAAGCGTGCCAGCAGATCCTTGATTTCAATGACGGCTCCTCCAGTCTTAGCTGGGACATTCTCCATCATTACATCTACGAATTCCTCTGACACTTTGATGACTGTGGGGAACATGAACTTCATCTTGCCAGACGTGAATGTGGGCGACAGTTTTTGACGCATCTCCTTCCAACGTTTGCCATCCAAATTAAAGAGATGTCCAGTGAGAGGATCGTCGCGTTCGTTATGGAACTGTCCGCGATCGGCAAAGTTCGAGAAATCCTTAATGAGAATATTCTTTGCCAGTTTGGTGTCCATAATGAAAGCGCATTGCTTCTGAACAAAGGTAAAGCCCACAAAGGGATGCCCACTCTTTCGGAACTTGTTGTAGTATCTTATCATGATGTCGCTAAGCGAGTGAGTTTTGCGGAATCCGACAGCATTGCCATAGATCGGGTGTGGCGGATCCTGGGGAATTCCGCGGCGTTTCCAATAGGTCATTTGTTGGTACACAAAGAATACCAGCAAAGCTGATATGGCGCTCAGCAAGTATATTAAGAAGAACATTTCGTGATCCGCTCTCAACGACTTCCACTCAAGCACTGTCCGAATTCAAGGCAATCTGCTGGTATTATATTCGCTCTCCCCCTCTCTCGCCCTCTCGCCCTCGTTTGCTACAAACAGCTTATATGATAATTTTTTTTGTTTTTCATATCTGTATTTATATGTAGTCCAAAAAATCGTTATCAAAGAGTCGTATAAATGGGTAGACTCTTAGTTAATGTGTTATTTGTTGAAAAGATTAACAGAATTTGAGCTATATGAGTTGAGTTCTCAAACGAAATCAAACGCAATAAAACAGGTATTCACAGCTGATGCATTTATGCATATTTCACTCAATTCAAATAGAGCCTAGCACGGCCAAGGGTATATCAGTTTTATCTTATTAACCACTACAGAATTTCGTTAGACTTGGGGAAAGTTCTTCCCAGTTGTAAATGAAGGTTTAAGGTAAATGAATGGTTTAATTATCACAAACATATTTATTACAAAAATATAACTTAAAAGATATGCAAATTTACAGTTCAAGCCAAATCTGTTTGATTGGCCCGGCAAAACAATAGAATTCTTTGGCAAATCCAATGTAAACAACTCTCGACGTCTTTAAAAGAATTTTAAATTCTACACACGTTCGACGCGCAAGTAAATGCCTCCAATCGTGCCTATTATAAGTGATTTCGGATCATAAGTAAGAGGTATATCAGTCTTATCGCAAACTGTGAACTTGAAGTTCCTTATCAGCTGGGCCAGACCAATTCGTGTTTGCATTTGGCCGAAGCGCATTCCCACACAATTTCTGGGTCCATCCCCAAAGGGCAGCCACTCAACTGAATCACGAGCTGCCACTTGCTCGGGCGAGAATCGCTCTGGATCGAATTTCTCTGGTTCGGGATAAAGGTCTTCATCCCGATGGTAGGCAGCAGCAGGAAGAATGATTTGTGTTCCCCTCTCTATGACATATTTGGGATGGCCAGGTACAACATAATCATTAAGAGCTCTTCGCTCGAGGAAAGGCACCAGAGTGTACAGTCGGAGGGTTTCTGTTAACGAAATCATGACTTAGTTGAACTCCCTGTAAAGTCCGATAGAGTGGTCTTACCAGAAATAACCTGATCGACATATCGCATGGCCTTAATGCATTCATAAGTTAGTTTTCCATCGTGTTGCTGGAGGACCTCATTAATATCTTCCCTAAGTCTATCCTGAATGTCTGTGTTTTTGGCTAGCTCATACAGAGCGTATGTCATGGTAGAAGAAGAAGTCTCAAAGCCAGCCAGGTAGAAGACAAACACCTGAGCTGCGAGCTCTCCAACATCCAATCCCGAGACTACCTCCCCATTATCCAGAGTGAAGCTTCCCTTCTGCTTTAACTCGATGAGCATCTGCATAAAGTCGTTGCGTTTGATGTTTTCCTTCTCCCTGAGTGCAATGGTCTCTTTCACCAAGCCCATAAAGAACTGATGGACGTCTTCTGGAATCATGCGCATACGCAGTTTTCTTGCCAGACTCGGAAAACTAAACTCAAATGCCGTTAGCAGAACTCCATGTCGCATTTCGGTGAAAGATTTCTGGCCCATAGTACGGAAATCAGTTACTGGTGTACGAAGGGTATTGCACTCGATGCCGAAAGCACAAGTGCCAATGACATCGGTTGTGAAGCGTGCCATCAGATCCTTGATTTCAATGATGGCTCCTCCAGTCTTAGCTGGAACATTCTCCATCATTACGTCTACGAATTCCTCTGACACTTTGATGACTGTGGGGAACATAAACTTCATCTTGCCGGATGTGAAAGTTGGTGATAGTTTCTGGCGCATTATTTTCCATCGCTTGCCATCCAAATTAAAGAGGTGTCCAGTGAGGGGATCGTCGCGTTCGTTATGGAACTGTCCGCGATCGGCAAAGTTCGTGAAATCCTTAATGAGAATATTCTTTGCCAGTTTGGTGTCCATAATGAAGGCGCTTTGTTTTTGAATAAAGGCGAAGCCCACAAAGGGATGTCCGCTCTTGCGGAACTTGTTGTAGTATTCAATCACCAGATCGTTGAGCACGCGGGTCTTTCTGAACCCGACAACATTGCCATAGATGAGATGTGGCGGCTCCTGAGGTATTCCCCGGCTCTTCCAGTAGTTCATGTTGCGGTGCAGCAAGTACACCAGCAAAGCTGATATGGCGCTCAGCAAGTATATTAAAAACAGCATTTCGTGTTCAGCTCTCTTTGACTGGGCGGCAATAACTGATCGCTGCTGGGAGAGCCGCAGCGTATTTTATGCCGATTGTTTTGTTTGTAACTCAGCATGAGTTGCTATATTTCGTTTGTTTTGATCGGCCTGAAACTGAGAGTCATAGTGATGCCGCACTTGAGTCTAGTGTGTGTTCAGCGATAGCTGTTATTATCGGGCGAACCGGTCACTAACGTGCACTGCTTAACAAATACTAGTTTAGCTGAGGAGCCCAACAGGTTGTCCAGCTCGAAACAGCTTATCATGCCCCGGTAGGCAGCGGCCTACATAACAGCAGCATCGCATCAGCATGCGAGCCTGATAAGGGGAGAATGCGAATTACCGACTTAATTGATATTTAAAGCATATATATCCATGACATACTTTGAATCGAATTTTTCCGTATTTTTATCTTGTTCAAACGCATTTTAAAAATAAATACCGAAAATTTAGTTTGCGAAATTATATGGGCAGAATTAAAATTATAGATTTAACTGTCAATTGTAGCAAATTAGATAATCCCAATATGACATTTAGACAGCCTCTACTTAGACTTTTTGCTTATACTTAATATTTCAGCTTTTTTCAAGCCAGATAATTTGCAATACTTTTCTTCTCTCTCTATGATTTATATATATTTTGTAGCGGACGTATGTATATTTTATAATTCCAAGTTTATAAATCTTTTTCCATATAATATATATAGAAATTACGACGCAAAGGCTTACTCGCTTTCCCAGCTTATCGCTGTCTGGCCTGGCTAATCAGCGTCTTATGATTTGTAATAAATGTAATAGAATTTGTAAACTTATTCCATTCATAATGTAAGAGGAGCACTCTAATGGAATGAATCTAGGGATAAATGTTGTTATTTGATGTCACCTAAGTGATTATAAATTCTCTTTTCACAGCTCGCTTTAACCGTGTGAAGTGCTTACTCAACTTTGCTTTCAAAGCAAACGCAATTATTGGCACTGTGCGTGGCTTAAAGCTCTTCTCTCTGCAGTCTCTCGCTCACTCTCTCTGTGTGTGTGTCCCTTTTGCTGTCCATTATGGTTTCGTCCTTGCGGACTGTGGCTGACAGCAACAGGCGGACTTAAGCGCTGCAATCGCGCTACCAGCAAATATTTTCCAGTTGACGTTTATTTAATTATGGGCATTGAGTGCAAGTGTGTGTGTGTGTGAAATTAAAAATGACATTTAAGAGATGTGTGTGTGTGTGTGCCTTATATATTTAACACCTGTCCATTTATATGAATTTTTCCTTTGTTGTTCTTTCAACATTCTTTAAAGCTGACCTTGAGCTGCTCCCAGCGCATCATGTGAATTTTATGGCTATATGGCCAAACAAAGGGAATATATGATAGTAATAAAAACTCAGTCAAGTACGAGATGAAGAGAAGACGCTCTTCTTCTTCTTCATCATCTTCTCCTTGCTCTTAAGCATAATGAATGCATGAGCTGAAACAAAAAGTGGAATGCATTATTTCAACACAGTCAGGTGCTGTGTGCGCCCACAAAAAAAGGGGTGGTGAGACAGTGAGAGGGGGCGGTGGGGGGACGGGGGAAAGCTGCACTTATGCGCTAAATAAAAATGCAAATCTAAATGTAACATAAGAGCGCGCACTATATGCGGGCTCAAATCTGCAGCAGCAGCACAAAAGAAAACCTCGTCAACTGTGTGTGTGAAGAGCGTGTGGTGGGAGTGTTCGACTAGCGTTTACCCTGTAGCCAGGATGGGTAAAGCATGTCGGGGGTAGGCTTGAGATTTGAGTAGGGTTTTCAAATAGATTCGGGTCTAATTTATATGATTTTGGGTTATCTTTACTCAAGCTATATCTCACTAATATCCTACAATGTGAGACTCATTCTAATCAAGCTTCTTTAATTCTTTAATTTGTTATATATGGGCTATAATTAGTTCAGCTCTTAGGCAAATGTGCTTACATTTTACAATAATATATAAATAAATACACTCTATTAAAAACCAAAATTCCAGCTTTGATCTAAAATTTTTAGTCGTTAAAAAAAATCTGATTTTATCTTTAAGAAATTCATGTAGTTTACATAAGATTAGAAGGCTAAGTAGATGATGTTGGGAGTATAAATTCATACAAAAAATTTAATGCTAGACTCTCTACTCTTAAGGCTTCAATCTTTTATATGCATTAATGCAGCTACTTTTGGGTGTGACTATTATACCCGCTTGTCCCTTTGACTACAGGGTAACCATTCAGCATCTGCTACAAATGCATCCGCATTTACATTGGGGTATCTTTATCTACAAATGCAACTGCAACTGCTGCTGCTACTGTTAGTGCTGCTACTGCTTCTCCTGCTTCTCCTGCTGCTGCTGCTTCTCCTGCCCCCGCTGCTGTCAGTCAGATGTGCAGCTGATTTGTTGTTACCTTCTTCTGTTGTTGTTGACTTGGTTGCTGTCAAGGTGACAGCAAGCAGACAAACAATTGCTCCCAACTATTCTTTCAGCCAGAGTCAGCATGGCCACGCCCTCTTCCTGCTAAAGAAAAACACAAAAAAAAAACACGTTTGAGCTGAGCGGCATTGCTAATTACGCCAGCGCAGGCTCCAGCATCTTGTGAATTCATGTAAACAGGCAGCTAATTGTTTGCTCACAGCTCGGAGGCGAGCTGAGACTGTTTGGAGGTGTTAAGCCCGCAGCGAAGACAGCTCTTTTAAATGCAAATGCCAGAAAAAGGGTCCAACGTCTTAGCCCTAAACAATTCAAGGTGTGTGTGCTCTGTTGGTCTGTCTGTCTGTCTCTCTGTCTGACTGAGAGAGTGAGTGAGTGACTGAATGGCTGACTGTCTTTAAAGCAGTGTCTTCCTCTCTCTCTCTCCCTCTCTCTCTCTCTCTGTTGCATAAATTAGTTTTGTTTGTGTCTGGCAGCTACCCCCGAGCAGTCAGTTTAAACAAATTGTGAATTGTGAATTGTGAATGGGGAGTAGTGCGCATTTCCTGTATGCTGAAGATGCGATATATGAGTGTGTGCGTGTGTGTGTGTACGTGTGTTGACATAACGACGTGACAGCAACCAAGACAGTGCCACATTATGTAAATTTCAAAGCAAAATCACAATAAGAAATCCGCATCATGTAAACAGAGCTGATTACCCATTTCGACTGCTCAAAAGGCAAAGGCAACGGCAAAGGCAAGGCTCAAGGACAGGCCAATACCTTTTTTACGACTAAAGACACACACCCACACACACACTCACACCTAGCTGCTGCAGCTGGCAACGACAAATGCTTAAGGTAAATCCAACTCAAGTCAAGTCGTCCAATTGTTGCTCAAATTGGATGTGCGCTGCTTTTGTCAATAACAACAACAATAACAATAAAGTAAAAAAAATACATCAAACCAAAAAGTAAAATATGAAAATTTGTTGTGCGTGTACGTTTACTGTTTGTATTGAATGTACTTTCTCTCTCTCTCTGTCTCTCTCTTTCTCTCTCTGTCTCTCTCTCTCTCTCTCTCTCTCTCTCTCTCTGTTTCGTCAATTGCATGTGCCAAGCAGTCAGGCAGCCAAATTGAAGTCAGCTTCCTTCCGATTGCCTTTGACTGATATGCCCAATCATAATCAGGCGACTGTGTGCTCGGAAGCCAGCTAACTTTAGATGAATGTAACATGAAACAAAATTGAATATGTGCCAGGGCTTGCCATTTAATCATTAGTCTTTGGGGAAATCTATGCAATTTATTTTGAAATTTCGAATATTGAATTGAAAGTTCATTGAATTTTAAGCTTGACATCAGATTTGCTTAGTTAAGCTTAAATTCTTTTGAGCTTTGAATCGAACTTGAAGCAAGCAAATCGCAGCTTACTTTTTAGAGCCATGCCCTTGATTTAATCAAAATGGTAATTCCAATTCATTTACTCTACTTTACGGTGCACCTTCAAAGTTTATTCGTAATATCCATAAATAACTTGAACATTGCATATTTTGCTGCTTTGCTTCGCTCTGTCGCTTAAGTGCCAGGTCTTAGGTATTAGGGATAACGAATTCACAACTTTCGACATTTATAGCAATGCTGAATGAAGTGTAGCTATATTTAAACGCTGCGCGCCAGAGCAGATAATTAGCTGCCAAACTTTTCTTTCTATTTTTATCTACCTACATTATTTTTACCTTGTGCTGCACGAGTAGCCGCAGGATATGCTCGGGCTATAAAATTGTCAGGATGTGAAATGAATGCGGCAGCAGCTGTCGCTGTCGCTGTGGCAGTCGCTCAACTTGTTGCCTGACAAGTTCATCGAACAAAATGCTGATTGATTTTCACACACACAGGAAGAAGAGAGAGAGAGAGAGAGAGAGCGAGAGTGGTATATTTGGAAGCAGCTTTGATTGTTTGACATTGGAGACAAGCATGCGAATTGGCATGACGCATGGCATTCAGTGAGTGGCGCCAGGCAGCCAATGCGGCGGCTACTTAATATTGATTTAGTGCCAATTCCATGGGAACAATGCAACAGCCCTGTGACATATAGATTATTTATGAACTGTTTTGTTCCCCATACGATTCCATAAACTGATTGACATATTCATTGAGCAGCAAGCGAAGTTGCAATAAAACAGCCAACTTGATGAATGTTTGACTGACTGAGTGAGTGAGTGAGTGGCAGTAGTACGTAGTTCATGGCCATTTAATATGCTGCACAAATTGCTTAGTTGACCCAGTGGGCTGGTTTTAACCGAGCCAACTCCAGGCCGGACATTCGCTTGACAAATGATGATTTATGTTGCAGTCGAGTCAGCAGAAAAACACGAAAGATGGGGAACAATATGAGAGACATGGCCATCAGAAGCTGTATACACTGTACCTTTTACGATGCTACAATGTGAAGCGGAGTAAACTTCTGGGTTATTGGGTGATAAAAATTTCGATTTTAAATTTTCAAGTCACAAAAGCGAAAGCCGCGTGTGCGCTCGATAAAACGGCTCGGCCTCTGCAAGGCATAAAATGAAGAACAATAATGTAAAGAAATTCTGTAAAAGCGGCTAAA